GTATGCATCAGGCCAGCAGGCTATCTAAGGCGCCACCCAGCCTGGCCAGCGAGCTGACCTTCAGCGGCACGGCGCAGCGAGGAGTGCCTGTGGTGTCTCTCAATGTGGCGATGGCGGCGCAGCCCGGCGGCGGCAAGGCAGCCGTGCGCTGCGGCTGCCGCGGCGCCTGCACCCGGAACTGCAGCTGCAAGAAGAATGGTGCGCGGTGTGGGCGGCACTGTGGCTGTATAACCGGTAAGGGTGGCAATTGCAAGAACCATTGAAGAAGTGTGCCTTGTACGCTTTGCCGTCTCCGCTGAAAGGTGCTGCCGCCTGTGGCGGCTTCATATTTCCTGTTCATTTCTGTTGTTCGGTCTCTCTGTTCGTGTTGGTTGGCTTGTAAGAGTTGTATTTCTGACGCTAGAGAGGTGAGATGACAGCGGGAGCGTTGAAGCGTGCATGCCATCACGTGTGCAAGCAGCCCCGCTCCGCCCCGCTCAACCCTCAAACATGGCTCTATGGGGTCAGTTCACGTATGGGAGGGGAGCGCCGCGCGGGCTGCCAGGAGCGAGCGGGGGCGGGGGTTGCCCAATCGGGAGGGTGCCACATCAGGGGGCAACACATGTTCATCCCCCAGCACGGGACTTGCCAAGTCTCGCCGAGTGCTGGAATCGCCATTCTCTTGCAAGTTGTCTTCCCGATCGTTCACCTGAGTGCCAGCTGCCTGCCCCACTCACAAACCAGGCATGGCGCCGTCCGTGTTTCATTCGGGCGAACTACACGTCCAGAGGCGGACTGGGGTGGCGGATAAAGCTGCTACATACGGTGAGCGAGCTTGCAGGGAAGGCAGGGGTTCGGGGCGCTCCGCTGGGGCCACCGCCTCCACTGCCGCCGTTCACCATGCCGCCGCCGTTCCCCTGTTGCAGGCGAATTCATCCGCCCCTTCCTGCCCGAGCAGCATCGAGCCTTCTATTCCTCGATGCTGGTGAGCCTTGGGCCTGCTGCAAGCAGAGGTTGCCCCAACTTGCACAAACACTGGCTCTGCTGATGATGCTGCACCTTTGCACGCGGTACTGGTCACCACCCCTCTGCTGGGGCGCCGGTCTCGTGCCTCATGTGCGGTCCCCATGCCACGCACCCCACGCCTCGACCCCATGCACACTCACGCATGAACCTACTCACACACCACCGCAGCGCACCCAACATCAACAGCACCACCACCCCACCACCGTGCAGAACCTGCTGTACATCGGCGCCAGGGACCAGCAGGGCCGGGTGTGGGCCAGCGTGCTGGCGGGCGCCCCTGGCTTCATCACCAGCGACGGCCCCAACCACCTGGCCATCGCCCCCGGATCCCAGCTGCCTGCAGGTGCCCTGCATCATGCCGTGCCGCATGTGCACTGTTTTGCCACTGGCAGACTGAGACCTGTCTGCTGCCAGCCTCCGCCCGCTGGACTCACCCCTGCTCACGTCCTTTGGCACGCCCCCTCCCCTGAACGCAGACCCTGCGCACTTTGTGCCCGGCAGCTCCGTGGGTGGCCTGGGCCTTGACATGGCCACCCGCCGGCGCAACCGCGTCAACGCCACCGCCACCCGCCTGGCCGCCGACGGCACCCTGCACCTGCGTGCGGAGCAGACGGTCGGCAACTGCCCCAAGTACATTCAGGTGTGTGCTTGGGGTTGGGGTTGGGTGGGGATACGGCCAGGAGTCAGGAGTTGCTTGCTGGCGGGCTGGCAGCAGGGCGACTTCACACGGCACCCTGCCTGCCTGCCCAGCTTCTCCTCAGTATGGTGCCCCACACATCAACACACCCCGACCTCCAGAGTGGATCCACAACAGACCTGGCTTGCTTTCTGGTGCCACGCCTGCAGACGCGCCATGTGCGCCTGGATGCAGCCCGCCTGGCGGCCTTGCAGCGCGGCGAGTCAGGCGGCGACATGGTGGACAGCACTGGCCCGCTGGGCGAGGAGCAGCTGGCGCTCATCCGCGGGGCTGACACTTTCTTCCTGGCCACCTGCGGTAGCAAGGCAGCCCCTGGCCCCGCCCCTGCCCAGCCGCACGCCGGCTGCGACGTCAGCCACCGGGGCGGGCCGCCGGGCTTTGTGGAGTGCGGTGCCGACGGGCTGAGCCTGCAGTGGCCTGACTATGCGGGGAACTCGTTCTTCATGTCCTTGGGTGAGCCGCAGGGCACCAGCGCTGTGGCTGGGTGTGCTGTAAGGCGGCCGGGCGCCACAAGCACCCCTCATTCCAACCCCTTGTCACCCTTTCACCCCATTGCCAATCCCTCCGCCCCAATCTGATCCCCCGCACCCACCCCTGCCCTGCCAGGCAACCTCCACGTCAACCCGTCTGCCGGCCTGCTGTTCATCGACTGGCTGAGCGGCGGCGTGCTGCAGCTGAGCGGTACCGCCGAGATCGCGTACGATGACCGCAGCATGCCCGGCGCGCAGCGCGCCGTGCGCTTCCGCCTCGCCGCCTGGCACTGGGCCCCCACCGCGCTGCCCATCCACCCGGCGCCCGTGCTGGAGCGCAGCCCCTACAACCCACGCCTGCTGGGCAGCGCAGCAGCGCCTGCTGCGCACACCACGGCGGTGGAGTGTGTGGGCGTGGCGGAGGAGGCGGCGGGGATCAAGACCTTCTCCTTCCGCGCGCCCCCCGGCTTCTCCTACGCCGCCGGCCAGTTTGCCAGCTTCGATTTCGAGGTGGCTGCAGAGGGCGGCGCGGCGGGCGCCACCAGAACCCTCCACCGCACCTGGACGCTGAGCAGCCACCCAGCAGATGCAGCGGCCGGCGGCGCCTTCACCATCACCGTCAAGCGAGCGGGCCTCATGTCTGGCTGGCTCCACGACAGCCTGCGGCCAGGGATGGAGCTGCAGCTGCGCGGCGTGGGCGGAGAGTTTGTGGTGCGGCAGGAAAGCATGCGGCCTGTGCTGCTGCTGGCGGGCGGCATAGGTGGGTGCCAACTGGCGGCGCCTGCATGGCACGCGCTCGTGGCCTTGTGGGTCGGCTCTGTGTGTGGTGGCAGTGCTGGTGGGTGGGTGGGCACTCTTGCGGTGGATGCTGGATGGTGGAGCACCTAACAATTGGTCCCTGTGCCACCCCCGCCTGCCCGCAGGCATCACCCCCATGCGAGTCATGTTTCAGGAGCTGGTGCGGCGCCAGGTGCCCGCCGCCCTGCTCTACTCGGTGCGCCGCCCAGAGGAGGCAGCGTTCCTGCCTGAGCTGACCCGCCTTGCACAGCGGGCCTCCGAGGCAGCAGCGGCAGCGGCTGGCAATAGCAGCGGCAGCAGCGGCGGAGGGGGTGGCAGCACAGGTCCCGGCGCACGCCCCGCGTATCGCGTGCTGGTTACAGCCACGGGCGGCGGCATCGGCGGTGGCCAGGGCTGGCGCAGTGGCCGCGTCGATGCGGCCCTGGTGCGGGAGGCGGTGGGGGACCCAGCGGCCTGCGATGTGTACATGTGCGGGCCGGGCGGGTTCATGGACGCGGCCACAGCGCTGCTGGAGGGGCTGGGAGTGGACCCGGCGAACATCCACACAGAGAGCTTCGATTTCTGATCATGTGAATTCTCCCGTTGGGTTTCTGATGGAATCTGTCCTGGCGGCGCACGGATTCAGTTTGCGATCCGGCAGCCTGAGGCCATCCATCCCTGCAAAGCCGCATGCATTGCTGCGCAACTCGGAGGAACATTCAGGACCAGGACGCTGAGCGGGGATAGCCAGCGTATCACCATAGCATGCCGTTTGTGGTGGTTGGGAGCCAGCTTATGGCTGCTTTGTGAGGCCGCTTTTGGTTCTGACACATGCCTGGAGGCAGTGAGACCTACTGCCACGGCATGCTGTGGTGCAAGCCAGGAGGGGGCGGAAGAGATATGCCGCCGCACGCCAGCGCCCGGCGGCAAGCGGGAGAACCTCTTGGCAGGCAGCAACTGGAGGGCTCCCCCCACCATAGCCTGAATACATCTCATGTTGACCCGCAAACGGCGCATGGGGGCATGAGAGGCAGGAAAAGGACACGTCGACACCACCCCATGGGCCCAAGATCCGACGCTTGGGCAATCCCGTTTGTTCAGCTCAATCATGTGCAACCCTGCTCGGCATGGCAGCTAACACAGGGCCAACAGCCCTCTTGCTCGTTGTGGGCGTGGTTGCGCCGTTTGCGCTGGCAACCGGGCCTGACAGCAGCTCCATTTACGTAGCAGGGGAGCCTGGAGCCAGCGGCCTGACCGTCTATGCGCCTGCAGCAGTGTTCCTTGGGGAGCCGCTAGTGAACGTCTCAGCCCCTGCCCAAGAGGACTGTGCAGCGAGCTGCAGGGCTCAGAATGCCTGCTCGTGGTTTAACTTCTGCGGCCAGCAGGTGAGCACGACCGAGTTGGCATCCGGAGGCAATGCCACAGCGCGCGGGTACTCTGGGACCCAGGTCCCAGAGCGTTGTGGCGTTGTGGTGCGCTGCAGGAGGGATGCGAGGGAGCCAGCTCTTGCCAGCTGCTGAGCAGCAACTGCTCGCTGACGCCGCAGCTGGCCGGGACAGGCGGCCCCGGCTACTCGGCAGGTGCTGGCGGCTGGCCTGCTCCACGCGTTCTGCAGCTCTACCTGACTCCTGTTGCCTGCCCGCCTTCCACGTTGCGCTGTCAGAGGGCTGGCCGCGCCTTCTGTCACCAATTATGCATGCGCTCCCCCTCGCGCCCCACCCCCACTTGCCGCCACCCCGCAGGCTTCCCCATCCGCGTGCCGCCGCTGGAGCTGCCCGGCTATTCCACGCGCACCGCGCAGGGGATGCAGGGCGTCGACTTTGAGTGCGGGGTCAGCATCCAGCCCGGCGCCTGCGTGGTGCCATCGGCCATGGATGGCGCCATGATCTGCTCCTTCATCCCCGAGTGTCGATCGGTGGTGGTGTTCACCAACGGTGCGAGGGCTGGTGTGGTTTGTGGTTGGATGGGGCGCTCACGGGAGGATGTGGCTGCGGCCAGCATGCGCGGGCGCAGCTGCCAAACGCAGGCAAACCTGCCACAGGATGGCGAGCCCCCGGCTGCCCTTTGGATGTGTGCGCCGCGAGGCGATGCCGCTCATGCTGGCGCTGGCGCCGCGCCTGCCTACTGTTCTCACCCAAACAGGCACGGATGGCTGCTCGGGGCAGGAGCTGGCTGTGCTGAAGCGCAGCAGCCTGACGCCCTCCAACTCATTCGTGTCGCCGGCTGTGTTCACACTGGAAAGCGTGCAAGATGCTCAGCTGGTGAGGTCGCGCGCCGCCGTGATACCAGCCGGCGCCTTGTGGGGAGCCGGGACCACTGCCTGCGGCATGCACTCGTGCAGTGGCAGCGCCGCATGGAAGCCCG